CTCCTTAAAAGCACAGAGAAACTTTCCACTTTCAGCAGATGAATGTGAAAACATCCTTCTAGTGTCAAACTCTGCACATACAGCATTCAAACAGCACTGTAGGGGCAAGTAGGAACACTGATTTCTAACTGGAGGTGACTTTAACACATAAATATTGCAGATTTAAAGCAGCATTTATATTTTGTGGACCGTAACAAAAACAATGTGCTAGAAGAGATTCCAAAGAGCTAAGGGGCACAGCAGAGTTGATTATTCTCTCTGGTTTATTCACACATAGTCATATTATCAAAGAAATATATTGATTAGTGGAGCTTTAAGCGGGGTACACTTTACATTACAGTATGTGTTGGAAAAGAGATGTCATGAAATCATATTTAGTATTAGTTGAGCAGTGTCGATCACGTCTGTGAAATTTCTCCCAATATGACGCTCCCAGACAAATCAAAAGCAATCTAAAAGTGCAGCAGTACACTGAGGGCTCTCATTCTCATCCCTTGTTCCCTTTCTAATCCTGGCATCAGGTTGCTCTGCATTCCATGTCCGAGCCTCGCTCGGATATCACCGTCAGCTTATTTACAGTATCCACACCCGCCGAGCAGCAAATCCTCCTAGCCGTTTTGTTGTGGGAGGGATGATAAGTCTGCTCATTGTTGCGACAGTGAGGGAGCCCCTATGCTCTGCTTGACAGCAGTCACGTTGTTTGCCATGTAACTCAGAGTAGGAAGAAGAGAGCCATTGTAAAGATAACACTTACATTGTGTACGGTGCTGCAGGGAGCAGCTTTTAATTGCCGCTTTCGTGTGTGTCCATGTTATCGTTTCATCGCTGTTTAGGTTCAGGAGATTGTCTGGGAAGCTGCAGCAGTATGAAATAACACTGCCTTTCTTCATACTGTAACATAACATCACAGGCTGAAATGAAGCTGTGGAAAGCAACCAGAAAAGTATGTTTTCATTAGTGCATAAACACCTGAAAATAAGATTTGTTAATTTAAAGCTGCAGTAGGTAACTTTACTAAAACTTTCACTTCAGGCCCGGTGGATTCTTGTGAATGCCACTGGGAGCACTACGAGATGCCAGAGGAACCTGATTTTTTCTCAGATTATCTGTCTCATGTTCTACTGTCAGGATATAGTGAACGTTTCAGCAAATATGACAAAAAGTGATTTTAGTAAAAGTTACCTAATGCAGCTTTAAGGCCTTTCCACACTGGGGATGTGACAAATAAACCCTAATGCGATCTCGCCTGCAAATTTGTCACATTAAAGCTTTTCATACCAGCAGTGATGCAAATTTGTGACTCAGAAAAACAGATGAAAAACAGCGGCAGCTTGTAGAGCTCCTGGGATTCTCAGGGGTCACACTGCAGCACCAAACGGCTTGTGGATAGAGAGGTTGCATTCATCGAGTTCATCTCCGCTGCCTTTCCCAAAAACAACACACCAAAGTCACACAAGACAAACTAATGGAGGCAGGAATAGAGCATCAACTCCTTTGTTCTGTGAGGTAAAATGACGTAGCATAGTAGTCTGTGCAGAGGGAACAACTGTCATCCCACTTTTGTCACATTGTCTTTATCTTTTTTTGTGTTCTATAATATAATACAGAGCGATGAGAAACATAAACAATCAACAGGTTGCCCATGAGTTGTAATATGATCTATGTTCCCCTCAATGTGATTGAATCTGTGTAAAAGTACTCATGCCAAAAACAATAGCGAGGAAAAAATATATTGATGTGTGAATTAATCACACAAAAAAGGCCCACAGTGTGTAAAGGCCTTTAGACTTAGAGAGTCTTTTTATCTACAGAGGGAGCGGGTTCTCTTCTACAGAGTCTGCCATGTTTCTACAGAAGCCCAAATGGACAAACCAAACACTGGCTGTAGATAGGACCTTTTCGCATTTCGGTAGTTTCGGTAGTAATATCTACATTGTACAACTTTGGCCTGAGTTATGTCGAAAGGTGTATTTTTTTTTTTTTTTTAAGTTTTATTTTACATTTAGTTTGCTTTGGTTCAGTAAGCACAGGTTCCAAAATCAGCTTAAATTTTAGACAGCAAATGTGGACAACACAAATGTGATTAAGAGCCAGACTGAAGTAGGTGGAAATGTATGAACGTATTTTTCAAAACAAGCCGGTACCACGCCTAAGCGAGTTAAATGTAAAATGTTTACATCTGTTTCCTGTACACATGGACTTTTGAATAGGTTTTTCTCACCTGACCAAAACTGGCCTAAACATACTCGATATGACTGCACCTTGGAGATGTTCTGGGTATATTGAGGCCTGGCTCAATATCTCATAGAAGAAACTATGTGGAAATTGGCTGCTGACATCCCTGTGTCCTGTATTTTGGAGGGATGGGAAGTCAAACTCTAAACTGTGGAAATTGTCCCGAAGGAGTTTTGACTTGAGTTACAGTGCTCCTGCACATTCTTGCCTTATCTTAATGGTTCCTGATAAGACAGAGTGGAGTCGTGGGCCCCCGTTAACTTTGATAAAGAGGGGGAGTCTGG